AGCACAAACCCCCTGTGTTATTTAAAAATTGGCATAAAAGCCCTCATGATAAAATAATTAGCAAAAACCCCCTTACGTTTGGTTTTTTTATAGCACACCGCCCCTTTTATCAGATTGAATTATTGACTTAAATGAATTGACAAAATTAACCTTAATTTAAAAACGCAATATACCGAAAACCCAATTGAAAAACTACCCCTTGAAAATTGCAACTGCGTGTTTCTCCCCTATCATAAAAAAATTAGCAAATACCCCCCTATATTCATTTTAGATAGCATACTTGACCCATTTCCCTTTTTCCTGTTGACTGGTTGTGAAAAGACAGAAATACCCCGGGAAGATTCCTGCGAAAAATCTAAGGGACCAAATTGAATTACTGAAAAATTGTAGAAATTTAATCAAATAATAAATTAGGTGACTGAATTGTAATTTTCAGGAAATACATAATATTTATAAAATCGTGGGGCCGAAAACACTATTTTGGAGCCAAATTAAAATTAAAACTATTTAGGAACTGAAAAATAATTAGAAATGTAAATTACTATTATAATTATTCGTTTAATATAAGTACAAATATTAAAACATAAACAAAGAAAATTCTTATACAAATAAACATAAATCGAATTGAACTTAAATATAAATAATCCAAACTTTGGATCAAATTGTAATTTTTAAACTTTCTTTAACAAAGGAAAATGACACGTTTTTTATGAAAAAAAAAAGAGAAAAAAACATCGTCTTAACCAAATTTCTTAATCTCCATTGAAATTTCCACCACTACCACCACCGGGCAATCACCTCGTTATGCCGCCGCCTCCAATCAAAGAGAAGAACATGTCTTCCCCTAATTTCTTCTTATTCCCCATTGAAATCGTCACCACCACCACCACCTCCGGCAGTCACCTCTTCACGCTGCCACCTCCGTCGATCCCACCTCTTTCCTTCACAACATGTCTCCTCCACTCTTCTTGCCGAAGACACCCGTCCACCGCCAACTTCACCTCGCTGCCGCCTCCCATTCCACCTCCCACTTTCACCAGAATTTTCTCCTCTCCGCTGTCGACTACGGCGGCGAGGAGCTGCAGAAATTGAGCGGCTGGTGGCTTTGTCGGAACTCGGAAGTGAGTTTGCAGTTGATGGAGTCGAGGTAAAATTGATTAAGAGAAGAGGTCTTTGGCGCCCCCATAAACCCGATTATGCCGTGAGAGAGTGGTGTATATTGCAGCACAAAGTGGTGGCGGTTTGGTGTTCCCTGCCGTGGACGATGGTGGGAAACGGTGGTGAACTGGTGGTTTTGTTTGAGAATATATTTTTTTTTAATTTATTACTTATTAAAAAAAAGGAAAGAAGAAAAAGAAAAAAAAGAAGTTGGGAGCAATTTTGTCATTTCCTGCAACAAAAGGAAGAAAAGTCGCGGAAACCGCGCGTGAGACACACGATTTGTGACGAGGGGGATTTTCGCCTTTGACTAATAAATACAGGGGGTTTTATTTGCTAATTTTTTTATGACAGGGGGGAAATGCATAGTTGCGATTTTCACAGGGGTAGTAAATGCAATAAGCTCTGAAAAAATCGTGAAAAAAAAAACAAGAAAAACAGAGAAGAGTCTTCTTGTCTTCCCCCCCGTTGACCCACCCCCACCCCAAAATAATTCTTCTTCAACAACCAGCAAATAAGTCATTTTCACAGTTGCCCTTCTTCCTTCAATCTTCCACCACAATATCAAATCTTCATTACCTCCACCCGCCGCCCCGTCCTATACTCTCTGTTGGTGTTAGCCGTCTACCACTCACAATCCAAATCTGCCGTCCACCACCGCACATTGCACACTGGAATCTCAAACATACGGAGTCCACCATCGGCGTCCCACGAAGTTCCGTCATAGTCACGACCTAGTCGCACAATGTGCGCGTGCAGAACACGATAAGATGGTAGGGGCCTTTTTGGCTTTCACTAACTTTATAGGGAGGTCCTTGCTAATTTTTTTAACACGAGGGGTTTTTCAGCAATGAGGGATTACACAGGATGGTTCTTAATATATAATAGTACCGTTGATATATCTCCACCTTTATTGGATGGAAATGGAATAATCAACATTCAACAAATGTAATCAATTACTCAATGCAATATTTGTAAATTTTAAATTTCATGTTTCTTTCATAAAATAAATTACATAAAAAACTAATTCTTATTGGATTAGCTAAAATTGAAAAGTAAATTAAATCAATGAACAAATAATGAAAAATTATAAATATTATGATTGAGAAGATATATATCATTAATATTACACAACAAAAATTAATATTATTGTGTAATACAGTAATATTAATATGTTGACCGTTTAACAAAAGTCAAACATACTAAAAAGTCAAAAGAATTAATATTGATGTGGTTGACAATAAATCACAATAATAATATTGTAGCGATAGTAATATTACTGTCAATTGACAGTAATATTACAATAGTAGATTGTAATATTATTACGTTGATCAGTCAACAAATAAAAAAATAAAAAACTCAAATTATATTGATGTGGTTGAGAGTTATATTATTGTCTTCTCTTTGTTTGCTTTCTTCCCCAATATTTTCTTCTATCCCATTCTCTTATCCTTACATTCTCCTTTACTTAATTTTTTTTTTCTTTGTTCTCTTTGTTTGCTCTCTTCTACATCTCTTTGTTCATCTTGCCTCGTAAACTTTTTTGCCACCAATTTCATCCTCCTTCTCCATGTTCTCTTCTTTTCGTCTTCCTAATCGGACGTCTTTGTCCCTCCTTAGCTTTCCTTTATCTTGTTTATTCTTTTGCACCAATGTTAGAATCTAAAAGTAAAAAAACCAGGATCAACTAGCAAGAAGCTAGACATTTTTATTACGGTAAATATCCAGACATAATAGATAAGAGTTGAAATATTGAATAAATCCACTCTCTTATATAGAGTTTGCAAAAGCCAAACTAGTAAAGACTTATTTCCTATGACAAGCAGAAAATCTCCTAACCCATATTCCTTTGAAAAAAATCTCACGTGCAAAGCACATGTTTTCACATTCTGGTTAAAATTGCCGGAAAATTGAGTTTAGGGGGCATCGTGCAACGAATTAATGAGTTCAGGTAAAAACGTGCAAATTTTTTTTATTTGGGGGGTAAAGTGCAAATCGACCCTTAGTTTAATGGGGCAAACTTCTTTTTACTCTATTTTCTTCTATCCCATTCTCTTATCCTTACATTCTCCTTTACTTCAAATTTTTTTTCTTTGTTCTCTTTGTTTGCTCTCTTCTACATCTCTTTGTTCATCTTGCCTCGTAAACTTTTTTGCCACCAATTTCATCCTCCTTCTCCATGTTCTCTTCTTTTCGTCTTCCTAATCGGACGTCTTTGTCCCTCCTTAGCTTTCCTTTATCTTGTTTATTCTTTTGCACCAATGTTAGAATCTAAAAGTAAAAAAACCAGGATCAACTAGCAAGAAGCTAGACATTTTTATTACGGTAAATATCCAGACATAATAGATAAGAGTTGAAATATTGAATAAATCCACTCTCTTATATAGAGTTTGCAAAAGCCAAACTAGTAAAGACTTATTTCCAAAGACAAGCAGAAAATCTCCTAACCCATATTGCTTTGAAAGATTGACTAAAAAGAGAAATCATAAAATACATAAATAACGAATAGAGATGATTCGGCAGATGATTCGGATGGACCAGCTTGGATATCCATCCTTTCGACGACAGTCTCGCACATAGGTGCTATGCATTCCACGTTTTTATATTATTGGCAATTTAGGAATTTTCGTGAACTTTACATGTTAGGAAGGGTTGGGGTTATTATGGATTGTTTGGGTCTATCAAGACTAGACTGTTTGCCGAATGGTGCCACACATTTCGCAACCGTTATACCAGTTTCGCCCATTTTTGGCGAAAGTGTAAGTGGCCTCGGCTGTTGTGGTGAGGCGAACGGTCTACCTTGGTCTTCCACGACCTTCTATGATCATTCCCTACCCGTCCCTTTTATTATTTGGGCCACCTGTTTTGCCCGTATTCTTAACGTTTTGTTAGTTAGCTATTGTCTTTTGTTTGTCAATTGCTATTATTAGTCATATGTTGGGCAGTAGCAATTTGAGGAAAACTCATTATGTACTTCTTAAATATTGTTTTATAAACAGGTAGGGGGTCAAGCCTAATCCCCACCCTCATCGGGTGTCGTTCTCTTGAAAAAAAAATAACGAATAGAGATTTGTTACATTGTAAACCAAAAATATTATGAATAATATGAGGAAATGTATATTTTGACGCGACCAAGTACTCACTTGTAAAGAGGAATCTCTCACTCTCAATGCAATATACTTGCATATTTTTTTATTTTTATTTTTAATTTAAACGGTCATTTGATTTTATTCATGTAAAGGGGGTCTATATAGGAGTTTTGCAACATCCCTCCAAAACATAGGAAATTAAAGTTTTGAAATTTGAATGACTTCTCGACTTCTCATTCCAGAAAATAAATAACTTTGACTTTGAATCATCAATACGTAGAAAAATGACAGCAGTATCTGATAATAAGATGAATAATTCGAAATTAGACTACTAAAATAAGTAAAGCACTTGGAAATACAAAAAGACGCAAAGCTTTCATTTTTCCCGAGTGTAATGGCAGGCTCTATAAAACCGAGCATAACTTCTTTTTCATACCTTTGTTTTGTAAACCAATTTTTGTTTTTGGAAAACTAGACTTCCAGAAGTTTCTAAGCATTTAATAGAAACTAGACTTGCAGAAATATAACTCTTTGTCAATCAAAACAGTTTAATTTTCAAAGTTCGACTCTTCTCCTGCATCATAGGCCCAACCAATTCTTGATGCCATAACAAAAACAGATTATTTCCTAGTTGAAGAAAAATGCTGATTCAGTTATTCGATTAAGTTTCGACTTGAAGAAGAACACGGGACACATAACAGCGAACGAGAAGAAAAAACAATTTCTTAACCTTGTGTTTTGCTGCAATGCCATTTAGGGAAAAACCAAAGTCTCGACGTACATTCTTGCATACCCGTAACCATTGGACAAAACAATCTTCGATTTCTTTTCCGCCACATTATATATCAAAAGTTGACAATCAGGAGCGCAGCATAAAATTAAATCCCCAGTGTCAGTAGCTCCAACTAATTTCAACCTTGAAAAAGACGACAAACCATTATCGCAGTTACTGAACGACAAACTCGTCATCTTAGTCCATGATTCCTTCACACCGTACTCCTTCATCATCCAAAACTCGTAAATTTCACAATCGCCCCCACAAACTTGGTATATTGCAGAAAGGCACCCATCAATCACCCCAATCGACCCAGTGCTAGAACTCAATCCCACAGGCGTCGATAGTTTCCCGAGAGTTTTCGCGCCCAAATCATACGTAAACACCGCATCGTGATAGATTGATCCAATAACCGATTCAATTCGATAGCTGCCCGCAAACCAATGCACTAGCCCGGAAAAAAAGGTCCCATCATCCGAGGAAGAGAAATATAAATCATCCATTTCTACTTGGGTCGATTCCGATACGCAAGAAAACGGCTTAATTACATATATATGATTTCTATATTCGTCTTGGTCCGGCATTATGGTGATTCTCCTAATTGCATACAAATTAGGGTCTGTATTTTTTCTAACGACAGATCGAATCCCTAAGACAACCTTGTATTCATCGTCGGAGGATTCTCCCCCGAACCAGAAGAAAGAAACGCTTCCTGTATGTTCAAATCTAGGGTTTTTGATAGCCTGAGAGATGGATTCCACACACAGATTCTCCTAGTCAACTTGTTTAAGTAACAGATCAGACCACCGGAGGAACCGATGAAAGTGCCGACGGCTTCTTCGGGCCTGGGCAAATGATCTTGGACGTCCATTATGTGGAAATCGACGGCCCGAAATGATTTCGGAAATGGCATGAAGATCCTGTGGTGGAAAGGGCTGGAAATTGATTTGTTGAGATGGAGGTTGACGAAACGTGGGGTTGAGATTATTGAATTCCATTTCTTGGAGACGGATTTGAATCTCAAAAGATCTTTGACTTGGAGATGTGACAGGATTTGCTCCAATAAGTCTTCATCGAATTTCTGCACCATAGCATGCTTTCTTTAGAATTGAGGGGATTAGGTTTTCTATTGAACGCTCTTTGCTAAGGTGATTTTTATTTTTTTTTTTCTTTTTTTGTGTGTTCTTTTTAGGAAGAGAATAAATTTTAGAGAAAAATACAGATTTCCAACCCCGTGTAATCTCTAAATAGCAAAATATTCGTATAATAAATAAAAGCAAAAATCTCCCTGTGAAATTTAGTCAAAGGCAGAAAACCCGCTGGTTGACTTTCGTGTGGCGATATGAGGTTGATAGCTGATTTTTTGGTTGATGAAATTGTCCCTCAAATTATATATATATACACATATATATATATATATATATGATATACCTAAATGGGCCGGCCCAATGAGCCCTCAAATTTATCTACCAATTAGGCCCACTACACGAAAGCCCAATCACATACAAATGGGCCCATTACACGAAAGCCCAAGCTCCTTCAAAGTAAGGCTTGGGCCCAACAAAGTAAGCCCAACCCATTCAACGATATATAAATAGATGTTTTACTCATTTGTTGAGGTACGTTCTAATTATTAGCAATCAATCTCGAGTTCTATTCTCTCCATTATCTCTACGATCCGTACATCTGACTTGAGCGTCGGAGGGGTTTCCGCCGGATCAACCCCCGGCTTAGTTCACGTGTGCTCATTTCGCAGGGACCTCAGGATCATCGAGTTATCAAGCTACTGATCCGCTTTGCTCTCCCAGCTCATTTTCTATACTACCCCAGGTGATCTACATTTTAGCATCATCATTTTGGCGCCGTCTATGGGAACGATGCAAACCAGATCACGTAGCCAACAAGATCCTCCTGAGGCGTCAGCTCAGAGAAAAAATGACACAGCAAATAACCTCCCAGTCCGTGGAGGATCTGGCATACCACCTCCTTCACGCACCGCGGAACAACTTCCTCCACGTGCCACGGAGCCAGCTCCTACACGTGCTGCAGATCCACCTCGCGACGTTCAGGTGATCCCTTCTCGGGACCCACCACTCGCCGATCCACCACTCCCCGCTCCTCGAACGGTTCAAATAACCGAGGACGCGCTCCAACGCATGATAGCAGAAGCCTCAACTCGCGCCGCCACGGAGGTCGTAACTCAATATATCGCCACGATGGGAGCAAACGCTCCCAATGCGATACCAGCGCAAGCTCCACCTATAGTACCACCTGTGGCCCCACCGCCGATCCAGAATCAAATAAGTGTCTCCTCCTCTACGTCGGACCCACGGTCCCGAGTGCAGCTATCTACAAATCACAGAGGAGCACAGCCCAGGCAGCAACGTCGGCGCTCACCCCTACGGGGGAACGCATCACCACCGAGAATCCTTCTCTTTAATGAGGGAGAAGGCGAAGTAAACAGCCGAATGTCTCGCCAAAACCTTTTCTCCCAACCAAATAATCAAATGGGTGAAAGAATGCCTCTCCCAACAAGACGCAGTCCCTTCACCATAGACATTCTCAACGAGGTATTACCTCAAGGAGTAAAGATCTCGGGGTTACCTCAATTTGAAGGGACCACCGACCCACAGGAACATATAGAGAAATTCAGTGCCATGGCGGATTTATATGGCCCGACGGATGCTGCGATGTGCAAAATGTTCCGTACCACTCTCTCCAAGAGGGCAATGAATTGGTTCAACTCTCTACCCATAGGGTCGATTGACACCTTCGCTCGGCTATCAACCCGGTTCACCAACCAATTCGCCATCAACAAACAATATGCCAAGACCCCAGCTCACCTTTTCTCAGTAGTACAGAGAGATAACGAAACGCTCCGCAACTACATCAAGTGTTTCGTAGAAGCCGTCCATGAAGTCCCCAGTGTGGGGCAAGACATGCTCTCCGAGATTATGCAGCAGAACTTGAAACCGGGTAGATTCAAGGAATTGCTAAATCGAGCTGAAAAGTACGTCCGGATAGAGGAAGCCTCTACCCATGCTCCTCCTAAAAGGAAAAGGGAAGATGACCGTCAGGACAATAGGAGACGTGATGACCGACGTCCACCACTTCCACCTCAAAACCAACCCTCCTCCTCCTACAATAGGTTCACTCCGTTAAGCGCTCGCCTCACTGAAATCCTTCACGTGATAGAATAGAGAGGTTTAGCGGAGCCTCCACGTCCTATGCAGCCGAATGCAAAGCGAGAAAAGTCGGATCGTTATTGTCGATTCCATAAGGACAAAGGGCATACTACAGAGGAATGTGCACAACTCAAAGCGGCAATTGAGAGGCTGATCAAACAGGGCCATTTAGGCGAATACATCGATAAACCGCGAAATAAACACCGTGATGATCCTCCACGCCGAGATAATAATCGAGACCAACAACAAAGACGAGAAGATGGGGGTCATCGACGTGACCTAGATAACAATGATAACCAGCCTACCCGGGGAATCATCTCATTTATCTCCGGAGGACCGGCGGGGGGCGATTCACAAAACGCCAGACGCACCCTCGCTCGATCAACACGCATGAATCAAGAACATGCTTCTCCATCTGCACGCATATATCAAATACGAAGACCTGATCATAGCATAGTCTTCAACTCCTCCTACCTCGGAGGTCCAGATGAAGACCATGTCGATGCATTGGTAGTAACAACAACGGTGGCCAATTTCTTGGTCAAGAAGATATATATTAGTGGACGGTGGAAGCTCAGCTGACATCATGTACCTCCACGCTTTTAAGCAGCTGGGCATAGATAATGCCCGGTTTAATCCCGTCTCCACACCCCTGAAAGGATTCACAGGAGAAGGCATTTTATCCATGGGAGAAGTAGAGTTGCCCGTCTCTTTAGGGGAAGACCCTTGTCGAATCACCAAGCTAATCAAATTCCTCATCGTCGACAACCCATCTCCCTACAACGTCATCTTAGGGAGGCCAGCCATCCATACATTCAAGTCCGTACCTTCCTCCTACCATCAGAAGTGGAAATTCCCTACTCCCAATGGAATGGGGGAGGTACTCGGAGATAGACGTCTCGCCCGAGAATGTTATGCAAGGGCCCTACGAGAACCTTCTAAGAAACCTAAACCACCCGGGAGCGGAGATGACACCCAAAAATCCGACAAGCGGAAGTGGGTCAATGCAATCATTGAGGATAATAAAGAAATCCTCATCAGCGTACCAGATGACAGCATCAAGTTAGCAGCCGTCGAAGAGCTTAAGCTCATAGAGCTCACTCCCGGAGATACTTCCAAGTTCATACGAATAGGATCTGATTTAGATCCAACCACGGAGCAGCAGCTAATCAACTTCTTGCGACATAATGGAGATGTGTTCGCGTGGACAGCCCAAGATTTGACGGGCATTCCTCCTCAGGCAGCCCTACATCGGCTCAACGTCGACAAGAGGTTGAAACCAGTCAAACAAAGGAAGCGGACATTTGGTCCTGAACGCAACAAGCATATCAAAGCAGAAGTGGCAAAACTCCTTGAAGCGGGCCACATACGACCAGTTCAGTATCCTGAATGGCTGTCGAACGTAGTACTCGTTCCCAAGCCGGGTAGCAAGTGGAGACTATGTGTAGACTTCACTGACCTCAACAAAGATTGTCCTAAGGACCCTTTTCCTCTACCTAGAATCGATCAACTCATCGATTCGACCTCGGGATGCGAGCTCATCAGCTTCCTTGACGCTTATCAAGGGTATAACCAAATCTTGCTCGCACCAGAAGATCAAGAGAAGGCTAGCTTCATCACAGACCAAGGCATCTACTGCTATAGAGTCATGCCATTCGGATTAAAAAATGCGGGAGCCACTTACCAATGTCTGGTGAACGCCATGTTCGCGGACCAGATCGGTAAGAATATGGAGGTATATATCGACGACATGCTCGTCAAAAGTGTCAAGGTCCCGGACCACCTAACTGATCTGGATCAGTGTTTCACCACCCTGCGGAAATATAAGATGAAGCTCAATCCCCTCAAATGTTTATTTGGAGTTCGGGGAGGCAAATTTTTGGGTTATATGATTTCGCAGCGAGGAATCGAAGCTAATCCTGCGAAAATCGAAGCAATCACCTCCATGGCTCCGCCAACATCGATCAAGAAAGTTCAACAGCTCAACGGTTGTTTGGCATCCCTAAACAGATTCATTTCAAGATCAGCGGACAAGGCTCTCCTCTTTTCCAAGATTTTAAGGGGAGGAAAAAAGTTCGAGTGGGATGAGGCATGCCAAAAGGCCTTCATCGAGCTAAAGTCATATCTTGCATCACCACCCTTGCTCACAAAACCTCAGCCGGGAGACACCCTCATGCTGTACTTAGCTACCTCGGCTGATGCCATCAGCGCAGTCCTCATCCGAGATGGAGGAAAAGGCCACCAACCCATATACTACATAAGTCGCGCCCTCCAAGGAGCCGAACAACGCTACACCAACATGGAGAAACTCGCTCTCGCCCTCATCAACGCAGCTCGGAAGCTTCGACCTTACTTCCAGTCACATCAGGTGGTGGTTCTCACCAATTATCCTCTGAAGCAAATACTAAGAAGTCCCGAAACATCCGGGCGACTAGAAAAATGGGCGATAGAGCTAAGTGAATATGGAGTGGAATTTAAACCACGCCCAGCTATCAAAGCGCAAGTATTGGCTGACTTTCTAGTCGAAATGACTTCTGTAGAAGAAAACACTTCTCTACCTACTTGGTCCGTCAGCGTCGACGGATCTTCCACTGCCACAGGAGGTGGAGCGGGTATCGTCCTAACGAACCCCGACGGAGACGAATTCGAATATGCTCAACGATTCGAATTCACAGCCTCAAACAATGTTGTCGAATACGAAGCACTGATAGCGGGAATCCGCCTCGCCCTAGCAGCCGGAGCACGCAAGCTCCTAATCCAAAGCGATTCTCAACTCGTCGTCAATCAAATACTCGGAACTTACGAGGCTAAAGAAGACACCATGGCGAAATATTTAGCTCTCGCGCACACTCTCTTATCTAAATTCGAGAGCTACGAGATAAGACAAGTACCTCGCTCCAATAACGTCCACGCTGACAAATTAGCTAGGCTTGGAAGCTCCATGGCTAGCATCGGAAGTCGGAAGGTGACGCTCCTCACCTCACCTCAGTCGGAGATAACTTCACCCACCGAAGTACAGTATACCGAGGAGGATGAATCATGCTGGTTCACTCCAATCCTGAAGTATCTCAAGAAGGGAGAACTTCCAACGGATCCCACCGAAGCACGAAGGTTAAAGACGAGAGCCGCTCGCTTCATCATAGTGGGAGAATAATTATACAAACGAGGGTTCTCATTCCCCTATCTCAAGTGCCTCGACCCGACCACAGCGGATTACACACTTAGAGAAGTACACGAAGGCATCTGCGGCAATCATTTGAGCGGGAGGACCTTAGCTCTCAAACTACTGAGGCAAGGATACTATTGGCCAACGATGCATGAAGACACAAAGAAGTTAGTACGGAAATGTAAGCCTTGCCAAGAGCATGCAAATATTCCTCACCTGCCAGCGGCATTAATGCAACCGATTGACAGCCCCATCCCCTTCGCTCAATGGGGAATGGATCTAGTTGGACCATTCCCGCCTGCCACAGGAGGACGCAAATACCTCATCGTAGCAGTGGACTACTTCACCAAATGGGTGGAAGCTGAACCCTTAGCACGCATCCGAGAAGAAGAAGTCATCCAATTTCTATGGAAAAACATTGTGTGCCGCTTTGGCATCCCACGTTCCATCATCTCGGATAATGGAACCCAATTTTGCAGTGACAAAGTAAAGAATTGGTGCCTCGGCTTGGACATCAAACAGTTCTTCACATCCGTAGCCAATCCACAGGCTAACGGCCAGACGGAGGTCATGAATCGCACCATACTCCAACACCTTAAGACAAGGCTTGGAAGTGCCAAAGGGAAGTGGGTGGACGAATTGCCTAACGCGCTATGGGCTTATCGCACAACCCCACGAGCAGCAACCGGAGGGTCGCCCTTCAATCTAGCTTTCGGAACAGAGGCTATCGCACCCGTCGAAATCGGAGAACCATCTTGGCGAATCACCAACTATGACCCAGCAGCTAATGAAGAGGCTATGCGGGGAAGCCTAGACCTCGTAGATGAGTTACGTGAGATCGCATACATCCGACAACAGATGTATAAATCACGCATGGCCAAGGCATATAACTCAAAGGTCCGCCCTCGCTCCTTTCAAGTTGGAGATTTAGTCCTCCGAAAAGCTGAAGCCTGTCACCCCATCGCTAAGCTCGATCCAAAGTGGGAGGGACCGTATAAAATTACCAAAGTGGTCAACACCGGAGCATATCGCCTCGAGAACACTGACGGACACCCTATACCCAGAACTTGGAATATAGGGAACCTCAAACGGTTCTACGCCTAAGGTATACATCTACCTAAGTTAAATCCGTTGAAGCAACCACCTATGC